CGCAGGCCACCTGCTGCGCGAGGAGGTGCGGAAGCGGTCTCCACTGGGATTGGAGTGCGCGGCGATCATGGCTGAGGGCAACTTAATCCCGGACGAGCTCGTCGTCGACCTTGTGTGCAATCGATTAAAGGAGCCAACGGTCCAGCAGAACGGCGTCCTGCTGGACGGGTTTCCACGGACGCTGCGACAGGCGCAGGATCTCAGCACGCGCGGCTTCCGGTTCGACATGCTCATCTTCCTCGACGTCTCGCCGGACATCCTGCTGGACCGGTGCCTCTCCCGCCGTGTGGACCCCGTGACCGGGCGTACCTACAACCTCAAGAGCGACCCGCCCCCGCCAGAGATTGTGGATCGGCTGCAGATCCGCTCCGACGACACGAAGGAGAAGCACGAGCGGCGCATGCAAATCTACAACAAGCAGAAGGAGTCGCTCATGACACACTACTCGCCCATCATTGTGGAGGTGAATGCAGATCCGGCCATCAAGGAGGTGTTTAAGGCGCTGCGGAAGCGAATCAACGTGCAGCTGCGGGAGGCGGCGGCGGCGGCGACGACGACAAATGCCCCGGCTGCGAAGCTCTAGGGTGCTGTCGTCCCTCGGTCCAGTCGACGCAGCCCGTAACAACGGAGCGTGGCACCTCGCCCACTGCCCATCGCACCACACACACATACACACACACACACACGGGGAGAAGGAGAGCGATGACGACGCAGCAACGCGCACCCAAAAGAGGAGAAAGAAAAAAAAAGGTCGGCCTGCAATTCTGTTCCGCAGACCACCACCACCACACGATCCCTCCTCTTGTCATACAGGATCGCTCGTTGACCGCTCCTCCACCCCTTCTCCCCAAGCACACAGCACACACGGTCACAGACACACATGCCAGCGACAAGGACAGACAAGAAAAAGAAAACAAGAAACGATCACTGTATCTCTTTCCCCCCTCTCTCTCTTCCTCTTCCTCTGTTTTTTTTTTTTTGCTCGCGAGCTCTACTTGTCCTTCAGCTTCTTCTGTTTGCTTTATGTCCTCTCCTCGGCCTCTCCGTTGCTCTTCTCCATGTGTTGTGCGCCATTGTTCTCCACCTTTCTCCTGTGAGTGCGTGTGTGTGGGGGTGGGTGGGGGGATGCTGTGGCGGCTTCCTGGCTGCGAGGTCGACCGCATTCTTCCTTTGCGCACTCCCTCCCCTCCTTCTGCTCCCCACGACCCCGCCTCGCCCCGTCTCTGCCCGTCCGTGTCGTGTGCTCGTCCCGCCTGCCTGCCCGCACACCACACGAGAAGGTGGCGAGGACATCTCTTCGCAGTGCCTCAGTCGGCACATCGCCATTGCAGCGAGCACCGGGGCGGAGTGGAGGCGAAGGGGGGAAAGAGAGAGCGTACAGAGAGAGCCGCTCAAAAGCTGTGTTCACGGTGCACAAGCTGCGCGTGACACTCAGTGTGTGTGTGTGTGTGTGTGTGTGTGCATATGTATGGATCCGTCAACCTCAACAGCGAAACAGTCACATACGCACATCTATCAAAACAAACAAGCTCAAAACAATCACATAAAACTAGCCGTATGAGAAACAGCGCTACTCATGTGGAGGGAAGGGTAGCGCTGGATCTGCGTCGGCAGAGCGTCTCTTTGTGTGTGTGTGTGTGTGTGTGTGATGGCGTGGTGGACAGGCGAATGGGGATAGGGTGGAGAGGGAAGGAAGGGCAAGGGGAGGCAGATTATATCCACGATATCCGAAGAAGGAGCTGGGGCCTTTGGCGCTTCGGCACAGCGAGTGCCACGACGATTCCACACCCGCTTGTTTCCCATGTGACTTCCCCCCTCCGGCGGCGACGTTCTGCTCTGTCAACGGGGAGTGTGAATCTGTGTGTGTGTGTGTGTGTGCCTACATGCTCCCCTCCCGGTTTCTGACATGGGCACGCATTCGTTTGTGCTGCTTCGGCGATTACTGCTCTCGTTGCTCCTGTGGGGGCTGCGTCGTGGTGGTGCGTGTTCGCCTCTCTCTCCCTGCCTCACTCCCTTTCACCTCTTTCGGTTCGACGCACATGCTCTCGCTCAAACAGATATGGAAGGCCGCGGTGATGCATCTGTGCGACGCCCTCCGACCTCTTCGTCCATCGGCGCGCCGTGTGCCTATCGCGCCCGTCACTGCCTCCTCCTGGTCTCGTGACCTCTCCTCCTCCTCTACTGTCTCTCTCCTTTTATTCTCCACGTTCGGCTTCCTCCGCAGCTTCTGCAGCACGCACGCCACACCACCACCACCCTCACCGTCCACCCCTGTTACTACCGATGCCGTCTGCCGCTGCCGCTGCTGCGACCCCGTCGAGCATGTACCCAGCCCTCTTCATCCACCACGGCGGTGGTCCGTTGCCGCTGCTCGGCGACGTCGGCCACGTCCCGATGGTGACCAAGTGGCGCGAGCACATCAAGGACATCGTCGCGCGGCACGGCTTGCCGTCCGCCATCGCGGTGGTTTCGGCACACTACGAGACGGATGAGCCCGAGGTGGGCGGCGGCGCGCGTCCCGAGATGCTGTACGACTACTACAACTTTCCGCCGAAGAGTTACGAGCTGCAGTACCCCGCGCCTGGCGCACCGGAGTTGGCGGCGCGCATGGTGGAGAGCCTGCAGCGAGCGGGACTCTCCGCGACGCTGAACCCCCGGCGCAAGTACGACCACGGCGTCTTTGTGCCCCTCACGGTGATGTTCGAGGCGGCGGCGATCCCGGTGGTGCCGGTGTCGGTGCTGCGCTCCAACGACCCGCTGGAGCACATCAAGTTTGGGCAGGCGCTGCGGCCATTTCGAGAGGAGGGTGTCTTCTTCCTCGGCAGCGGCGCGTCCATGCACAACTCCAAGCGACCCCGCCCGCTCGGCGCCGGCACGCGCTTCGGCGATGTCGTGACAGCGGTGCTGGAGGACCCCAACCTGTCCGAGGCGCAGCGGCGCGCCAAGATGGCTGATGTCAAGTCCTTCGACGGCTTCTCCGAAGCGCAGCCGCCTGTGGCGCACGAGCACCTCATGCCACTGCTGACTCTCGTTGGCGTCGCGGACGGCACACCGGCGCGCGAGGTGGCCAGCTTCCCCTTCTACGACACCAACATTCGCCACTACCTCTTCGAGAACTAGTTCCGCCAGCCGGCCGACCCCCTCCGCAATTCTCTTCTCCCCTTTCACTCCCCCTTCACTCCACTCCACTCCACCTTACCTTACCTCAGTTCCCATCCAGTTCACCTATTACCACCTGACGGCTAGCTCACTCCCCTCCCCCTCCACCGGTAACGGCGCCTCGGGTGTGTCAGAGGTGGTCCTCGACTGCGCTGTTCTCCGCAGCGAGTGCGATCGTGTTTTGTTTGTTTGTTTGTTTCCTCCGTACGTCCCTGTGCGACAAAACGAAAAACGAACACGTTCACAAAAAAAAAAAAAAGAGGGCAGCGAGCTCAACCGTTGCGTTGTCTCTTACTTGTGCCCACCTTCTTCTCCGCCCGAACCCTCACCTCCCCGTCCATCCCCAGCCTACTGACGTGGTCATTCCTCCTCCTCCACTGTCTCTCTCTTTTTTTTCTCCACGTTTGGTTTCCTCCGCAGCTTCTGCAGCACGCACGCCACGCCAGCTCCAAGCACCACCACCACACCACCACACCTCTTGCCTCTCCGCACCACCGCTGCTACTACCGATGCCGTCTGCCGCTGCCGCTGCTGCGACCCCGTCGAACAAGTACCCGGCGCTCTTCCTTTTCCATGGCGCCGGCCCGTTGCCGCTGCTCGGCGACGTGGAACACATCCCGATGGTGACCAAGTGGCGCGAGCACATCGAGGACATCGTCGCGCGGCACGGCTTGCCGTCCGCCATCGCGGTGGTCTCGGCGCACTACCAGACGGACGAGGCCGAGGTGGGCGGCGGCGCGCGTCCCGAGATGCTGTACGACTACCGTAACTTCCCGCCCGAGTCCTATGAGCTGCAGTACCCCGCGCCTGGCGCACCGGAGTTGGGGGCACGCATGGTGGAGAGCCTGCAGCGAGCGGGACTCTCCGCGACGCTGAACCCCCGGCGCAAGTACGACCACGGCGTCTTTGTGCCCCTCATGGTGATGTTCGAGGCGGCGGCGATCCCGGTGGTGCCGGTGTCGGTGCTGCGCTCCAACGACCCGCTGGAGCACATCAAGTTTGGGCAGGCGCTGCGGCGCTTCCGTGAGGAGGGTGTCCTCTTCATCGGCAGCGGCGCGTCCATGCACAACTTCTACTCCGCCCCCGTGCACGGCGCCGGCACGCGCTTTGGCGATGCCGTGACAGCGGTGCTGGAGGACCCCAGCCTGTCCGAGGCGCAGCGGCGCGCCAAGATGGCCGATGTCAAGTCCTTCGACGGCTTCTCCGAAGCGCAGCCGCCGTCCGAGGACGAGCACCTGATGCCACTGCTCACCATCGTCGGCGTCACGGACGGCACACCGGCGCGCGAGGTGGCGAACATCCCATTCCGTCACACGAACCAGCGCCACTACCTCTTCGACGATTAGCAACGCGGGCTCCTCACTCAGTCTCACTGACCCACCACGCCTACCTACTTTTTTTTGTTGTTGTTAATATACGATACCACTCCGTGTTTTTTTTTTTTTTCTCCCCCTTCCCCCGCCGTTTACTTCTTTTCTTTTTTGTGTTTCACGTCACCTGTTTCCCCGGCCCTTCCCCCCCCCTTGCTCTGACAGGCGCGCTCATGTCGCACTGGTAACGGTGCCTCGACTGTCACGCGCGGGGGCTCCGCCAGCGGTTTTCCCCCATCTATTTGTGGTGTGTGCGTTTATGCGCGAGTGTGAGAGCGTCTGTGTCTGCACATCAATTTGCCCCAACAACAACAAAACGGACAGTACAGCTGCACGAGAGCACAGGGCAAAAAAAGCACCCACTGCCTCTCGCAACACCCGACGTTCGTGTCACGCATCACAGCTCTCCGCTCTCCCTTTCCGCCTCCGCCGTCTCTCCGATACGATCCACATCGACACACACGTCATCAGTTCTCGGTAGTATAGTGGTTAGTATACCCGCCTGTCACGCGGGTGACCCGGGTTCAATTCCCGGCCGGGAAGCTTTTTTTTGTTTTTTCACCCTTCTCCTCCTGCTCCTTGCCAAGGCAGGCGGCTCTCTAGGGGGGCGGGAGGGGGCCCTCGGGACAGCCACAAGTCCGTGTGGCTCAATGGAAGAGCATCTGACTACGGATCAGAGGGTTGCAGGTTCGAATCCTGTCACGGATGACTTTTCCCTTTTTTTTCGCCTTTCTCCTCTCGGCTCTCCACCAGGGCGAACATGAAAGCGCTCGACATCCGACCGGCTGGAAACCGTGGCTGCTTAGCTCAATGGTAGAGCGCCGTCCTAGTAAGACGGAGGTCAGGGGTTCGATCCCCCTAGCGGCCTGACCTTTTTTTTGGCCGTTGGCGTGTGTGTGGGTGTTTGAAGCCAGGGGAAAAGAAAAAATGGCAGCCCTTCTGTAGCTCAATTGGTAGAGCATGTGACTGTAGAGTTCGCAGGCATCACAGGGTCGCTGGTTCGATTCCGGCCGGAAGGACACTCTTTTTTTTGTGTGTGTGTGTGTGCGTGGCGGTTCGGAGAGGAGAGGAGAGGAGAGGTGGATGCAGCAGTGCAAGCGCGGCAGCGGCGCGTGCGTGGCGGAACTTCATTGTGTCTTCTCTTTCCCTCATGGAGGTGTGCGCACGAATCGGTGGACAATAGTGGAGACGAGAGAAAGACCAAAGAAAACAACCCAGAAGTGTGCGCACACCTCTCTCTCTGTCTGCCCCAAACCTGCGCTCTTCACGGTTGCCTGCACTGGTGAGTCGGCAGCGGCGCCGTTCCACAGGAGGGCAGAGAGCGCTACACTTTTCGGCGCTTGATGACTGGCTTGAGAGTGGGACCTCCGCCGCCGCCGCCGTGACTGGACGGCAGCGCCGCCTCCTTCTCCTCGTGCCGGTACTGTCGGAAGTGCTCCTCGTTCACTCGGAAGCAGTTTGCGCCGTACGGACACCGCGGCAGTCCACTCACCGTCTCCACCACCACCTCGTACTCCTCGGTCGCTTCGGAGTCGACCCCGTCGTCGTCGTCCACGGTCGCGGACGCCTTGGCCGTCTTGCGCGACGGCGCTCGCGGCCGCTTCTGCCCCGCCGACGCGGCGGGGGTCGCCGGCGCTCCTGTCGACCCGGTCGCTGGCGCCGACGCCTTCGCCTTGGCGGCCTTTCCACCCTTGCCTGACAGCTCCGATGCCAGCGGCGAGTGCGCCACGTCGCCGACGCGGCCAATAATGGAGGTGTTGCCCACCAGCTTGCCCTCGCGCATCCTCTGCACGAGGGCCTTGTCGGCCGCGGCCAGCTCCTCCTCGCCCTGGATCGCGTCGATGTCGCCGGTTCCCTTGGCGTTGCTCAGCTGCCGCTCCGTGAAGCAGCAGAGGTGCCGCCACTTCCACGACTCGACACCGTCGTCGCTGAACGGCATGATCACCTCGGTGCCGATGCGCAGCTCATGCTTCTCGATCTTCTTCCCGCACGACGTGTTGGAGCACTTGGCGCGACCAGATTTGGAGTACTCCACGCACAGCTTCGGCATCCCAACGTTACACTACCGCCGAGGGTTCTCTCTCTCACTCTCTCCTTGTGCATTAACGTGTGCGTGTGCGTGCGTGTGTGTGCGATGGTGGACGCAGTGATCCATGACGATGCAGCGAGGAGGAGGAGGAGGAGGAGAGGGGCGGACGGAGTGCTACAAGAGGGAGACACAGCTCATGCGTGTGCTTCACACACACACACACACGCGTACAAAAGACGATCACTCCCGGCCGGGTAAGAGCAGCAGCAGCAGCAGCGACAGCCATGACAACAGGGAGTATCGTGGCCTCCTCTCGAAGTCCAAAGCAAGCGAGCGTGCCGCCTCAGCCACACCAACTGTTGCCGTGCAGCAGTCTTGAACATGTGGAATGAGACGTCTCTTTTTTTTTTCTTGTTCGTTTGTTGCTGTTCTCCTCGGGTGATGGGGGCGGCGGCGGAGGACGCATTACGCAGTTAACGCCTATCGAGACGGTGGCTCAGGACGACAGCCCCCCGTTGCACACACACACATACACACAGACACACACACACACACACACGGACAAAGACGAAAGAGGAAGAGGGATGATTGAATGATGGGTCGCGCTATCCCTGCCCCCTCTCGCGTCTCGAACGGAACACACCGCACTACACAACCACACCTACATGAGCCACACACACGTCGACACACACACAGACACAGACACAGACACAGACACAGACACAGAGAGAGAGACCACGAACACTGTTCCGAGACGCCGCACTGACACACGCACCTACTCACACGCACACGCACACACACACACGCACACACACTAGGGGGAGACGATGGAGAGAATCTCGTCCACGATCGTCTTCGCACGGGTGTCCATGGTGGTGGAGGAGGAGGCGTAGAGCCCCGCCTTGAAGGCGGCGGCGAGAGCCTTGGTGGTGGGGTGCTGCTGACGGTGGAGAGCCAGCAGCGCGCGCGCAACGAGGAGGGGCTTCTCTGCCGCGGTGTACAGCTCAATCGCGAGCGTGTGCGTGCTCACTTCGGCGCCGCGGTGGGTTAGGAGCGGCGCCATGTAGCGGCCCGCCTTCTCCAGTGGGTCGGTAAGATCGACCTCACTGATGAAGCAATCCGCCACTTGCTGCTTCACCCGCTTCACCTCATCCGCGCCGACGCCGTCGAACTGCAGCTCCGGCCGCGGCACATGCGCCGCGCGCACGGCCTCGGCGCCGAGCTCGTGGACGCGCATGTAGGTGCGCACAAGAGCGGGGCAAAACTTGAGGAAGAACTTGTTTCGGCTCATGTTGTCCTCGTTGTCCAGCACCTCGAACCACGGCCGCATCGTGTTGCGGCGAAACACGTAGTTGTGGAAGTCGTTGAGCTCGCCGTGGTTGTGCTCGTGGTGCCGCTCGAACATGAGCAGGTTCTGCAGCGCGGCGATGTAGTCCCCCTTGCGGTAGAACGCCTCACCCACCTCACGCTCGTACCAGTAGCACTGCGACTCGAGAGCCGTCAGGTACGTGTCACCGGCCACGACGGAGGGCTTGTAGAAGAGCTGCATCGTCGCCTCCCCTCGCTCCACCTGGTTGTCGCGGAAGAAGTACTTGGCCGCCTTGCTGTTGAGGTACTTGTCCTGCAGGTCGAGCCGGCGCGCCATGTCCGCCTGCTCCGCCGCCTCGGCCGTCTTGCCCTCCCGCGCGAGGATCTTCGCCTTCTCCAGGTAGAGCAGCTCCAGCGTCGGCGTGTGGTCGATGGCGGCGTCGATGTAGAAGTGTGCCAGAGCGTGGTCCCCGGTGCGGCGGTAATGAGACGCGAGGAAAGTGCGCACCCACAGGATGAAGCACGGGTTCGCCTCGCCGCCGAACCGCGAGAAGTCCCCCGCCTCCAACTCCTTCTCCATCGTGGTGAACACGGCGCCGATCACGGCTGCACGCTCGACGTCGGTGTAGAGCGACTTGAGGACGCTGAAGAGCGACGGGATCATGCGCTGGATGTACGGCGTCGCGAAGGTGGCGAGGCGCTCGCCGAACTCACCCATCGGCACGCAGTCCAGAACGTGGCGCTTCGCGTAGTCGCACTTGGGACACGCCTTGAGCACGCGGTCGATGATCTCGAGGTACTTCTCCACGTGCTCGGGGGCCGGGCGGAGGTGGCGATCAAGCGGGATCTTCTGCAGCTGCGCCAATGCGGCGATGCTGTCCGCCTCCGACACGCCCATCGCGATCACCTCTATGTAGCGCTTCTCCGCCTCCGTCCGCTGTCCCAGCTGCGCGTGCGCCTTGGCGCGCAGGAGCGTCTTTGTCTCGACGTCTACGATGTCGCCGTCGTGCTTCTTCAGCAGCTCCAGCGCGCGCTGTGGCGCCCCGCTCTCCAGCTCCAGCTCGACGCGGTAGAGCTGCGCCTCGCTCACCTCCACCGGTGCGTCGCCGGCGTCCATGATGGATGTCATGGTGTCCATCACGGCGGCGGCGATCTTGCTGTGGCCCAGGAGGCGATGGCCACAGGAGAGCGCCACCCAGTTGGCGCGCACGCCCGCCTTGACCGTCACCATCTTCTCCCGGGTCTCCAGGAACAGCGGCCAGTCCCGCACCTGGACGCACACCGCCGCCAGGTCGCGCATCACCTCCGTGTTCGCCGGATCCAACGTCCACGCACGCTTGAACGCCTTCACAGCCTCACTGTCCTTCTTGTCCAGCCTGTGGCACATCCCCAGCGCATGCCACGCCACCACCGACTTGGTGTTGAGGAGAATGGCCCGCTTGATCAGGTCGTAGCCCTCCTCCTGACGCTCCAGGTTGTGCAGCACGACTCCGCGGATCGCCAGCGTGTCCACGTGGTTCGGAATGACATTCAGGATGCTCTCGGACGTCCGCAGGGCCTTGGTGAACTCGCGGTTCGAGTGCTCGCGGTTCATCCTGTCGAAGAGGCGCATCTGCTCCGCCGGCAGCGACGGCGACGGTGCCGACGCCATCATTACGGGAGAAGTGCCGTTGACACACGTGTGCGCTGTAACAAGTGCGTGTGGCTGTGTGTGAATAGGAAACCTGCCCCCTCCCAGGCTGTCAACAGAGGCAGCACCTATGGTATGTGTATGTGTGTGTGTGCTTCCCTCCGCGACCAGCGTGCCTCGTCTCGACTCCCTCTCTCTCGTGCGCGTGTGTCTGTCTGTGTGTGAGACGATGCGTGGGCGGTGGTCCGTGTCGGCGGTGATTCGTGTTCGCGACTTGGTAGGCGGCTTTGCCTTCACCCCACAAAGGAGAAGCACGGGATCCTGCCGAGAGATCCCACAGAGGCGGCGAGCACCACGGTGCGCGTGCGTGCGTGTACGTGGCAAAGTGAGCGCAGTGGCGGTAGAGAGAGAGATGGAGAGAAAGAGAGAGCAAGGTGCGCAGGTGTTACGTGTCTGTCTGAATGCAAATGAGCATGCAACGGCGAGATCTTTTGCGCATCCCACAGAGACGCTGTCGGAGAGGCCGCTGAGTGGCTGTGGGCGAAGGTCCACACCACGGAGAGAGAGGGACCGTGAC